ACACACACACACACACACACACACACACACACACACACACACACAACTGTAGTGTAGACGATCTTTTCAGTACGAATCCGGAAATTCGCCACTTCTGTTGCCATTTTGCTCGGATAGCAGCCGCGCAACTGGTGGCCCGGCGACGATCGTATCATAAGCGAGAGCGAAATGGATCTTCTGACCGCTTCTCGCAAAGATTCACCACTCTAGATCTCCAACCACCGAGACGGATCCCCTTTCTTCTGGAAGAAAAGACCGATCGATGTGCCAGTGGCTTGGCATATATCGAATAAACATAATCGTTCCAACGCAAGTTGGAAACGTGGCCGAAAGTAACAGTTTCGAGGAGAGGTATCCCCATAATCGAGTTCGACTCGGCGGACTTTGGAAATCTCTGTGACATGATATATCGGTGGCATGAGATCTGATTTTGAAAACCGTCGGTTTGCAGCCTTGCAGCAGCGGGGGATTAGCGATATCGCACTTTATGCAGGTCAATTGGATGGCGCTGACGGACATGCGAAGCGTGAAGAGGAGATTCAGGTTGAAATGGAAATGGGCGTCGCGGTGGTAGGGAAACCACCGACGCCGCCACCGTTACTAAATGGGCTCCGAGCGGGTTACCCAACTGTTGCGCCTTCATCAGAAATTTATGCAGAATCCTGGGTTAACCGTCCCGACCAATCAGCTTTGTAACGGAGCTAACGTCGTATCAGCGAGGGAACGAAACCGAGAGAGAGAGAGAGAGGGGGGGGAGGCTCTGATTTAGTAAAAAGCCTTTAATATTTTGCACCTTCGCCATACCGGAGCCAGAGAGTTTAGCACACACCGCCTGAGACAGCAGCTGTTACACGCTTCGATCCTCTTTCAACAAGATCCTTAATAACGTCCGAAAGCAGACCGACCAAGAGGATCTCGAGTTTGTGGCACAAAACGTGGAAAAAATTTAGCAGTTCAACGAGTAGTTCTACACGCACACTTACTTGCTACGCTCAAATATTTGAATGGGCGGTGATTTTACGAAACGGTACATGCAACGGCAGATGATTTTGACATTGAATTGACAGGATCAAGAGAACAAAATCACTCAACTCACCGACGAGAGCCAGAAGCACCGTGAGCAGGGACGCAGCAGGAAACGTTACCGTCAAGTTGAACTCCAACATTTGAAGCAGATCCACTGAAACAAAGGGGAAAGAAGTATATTTCACGTGAAAAATAGACGAAGCTGCTCGCGCGAACAGCTAGCTGTTCGACACATTGGTCGAACATCATTTTCTAAGCCTAAGGTGAGGAAGGAAGCGGAAGCGGTGAAAAAAGAACGACGAAAGCGTTTAAAGAATTCATAAAAAAAATATACTTTATATTCCGTGAAGTAAATGCATGGCAACGCGATATTGTATCGCGAGATCGTTATGCTCGACGACGAACGGTTCGAATTTAATATTTATTAGATACTCCGTGACGAAAAGTTCTCGAGCGAAAGGTTATTACACAAGTTGAGGGCCGGTGAAGAAATCGTGTCGCGTTCGACGAGTCGGTTCAAAGCTCAATAAGAATTAATTTCAAAACTTCCTGGATCTCGATTTAAGTTCTCGCAAACTTTCGATCGGCGCGTCCTGAGACGAGAGAGACAGGGTTTCGCTTTTCTTACTACACTCAATCCATACACAACCTTTCACTAATTTATTCCATTCGCTTTTTTTTCTTTTTTTTTTTGTTTTTTTTTTTTTGTTTCTGTCTT